GGCAGTAAAAATTTAAAATAGAAAAATAATATATATATATATATATATATATACATATATAAAAGCTAAACTGTTCTTCTGTTGTTAAGTTAAATAATTTTCATCACTTTGACTTTTAAATGTTAGGGATTATACCCTCACTGAATTTAAGGTGTTGAAGCTGCCATGTCCCAATAGAGAAGGAGGAAAACTTCAATTTCATACAGGATGATCAAAGTTCATTGTTGAAGCCAGCTGTCTTCTTTCTTCATCACTTGCACATGCACTAATAATCAGGCTTTTGGATATAATCAATGTTGCGGTTTTAGAAATAATTTATACTATATTAATAATTTTGGATAAAAGTTTTATTGCAACTTTGGACTTATATACAGGTTACAGTTTTTTATTAACAATAATATTTGTTGTATATATACAATATATTTTAAAATGTGATGATGTTTTCTGAGGGGTGATTAAAGGATATAGTGGGGCCGTATAGCTGCATATGATGGCAGAATATTTCAGTTCTGGTAGAGAGGCTGCAATTTTAGGTGGTTATAGTATACAAGTTTCTGAACCTAAAACCACCCAGACCCCAATTTTTAAGGACCTCGGTCGTCCGTAATGACGTCATAAAAATGGCGGCCGTAAGAGGATGCTGGGGGTGATGGGGCTATAATGACCGAATGCCTGAACCGATTTTCATGAAATTTGGCACACAAGTGCTTGAACACATTATCTCGGCCTGGGTTGAAAATGGTCAAGTTTCATCAAGTCACTTCAAAATGGCGGCTGTTCAAAACTAAAAAAATATGAGGAAAATAACTGTGAATTGTTTTATACAGGGTGAGTTTCAAATGAGTTCCCCTACTTTTTTATACATTTCTTAAGATATCAACTCCGAACCAGGTCAGATAATGTAGAGTAGTGAGTACTTCATTTTGACTGGGTTTTATTTTATCCGTTTTTTGTTATCAAGCTTTCTTGATAAAATATAACAATTATTTTGATTTAAAATGTCAATATTTCAAAAACCAAATATGACAATGAAAAACAGATTGCGGCATTGAATTCAACATAAAAAAGTAGTTCACAATGATGGGTCACAACACCACCTTCATATTTAAAATAATTTATCAAGATGGCGGATGAAAAAAATACATCCGTCATAGCTGAGTGAAAATAGGTCAACAATGAATGGTGGTGTCCACTTATCTTTATCTAGCACTATTTTGAGATTATGGCCTTAGTTTGTAAATGCACAATGTTACAATGGACTAAAAATAAAGTTATAAAAAGTTCCCTTAACTTTAGAATGGATCAACATTTTTTTAAACGGATTGCAGCATCGTATTCAGCGTAAAAGTCTTGTTTGAAACGGTGGGTCACAACCCTACCTTTACATTTGAAAAAATAACTTTTAATCCAAAATGGCGGATCCAAGATGGCGGCCAAAAATTTAAACCCAGTCAAAATGAAGTCCTTGCTACACTAGAATGATCTGACATGGTTTAAAGTTGATATCTTAAGAAATGTATAAAAAAGTAGGGGGGGGGACTCATTTGAAACTCACCCTGTATAAAACAATTCACAATTATTTTCCTCATATTTTTTTAGTTTTGAACAGCCGCCATTTTGAATTGACTTTGATGAAACTTGACCATTTTCAACCCAGGCCGAGATAATGTATTCAAGCACTTGTCTGCCAAATTTCATGAAAATCGGTTCAGGCATTCGGTCATTATAGCCAATTCATGGGGACCCAGCATCCTCTTACGGCCGCCATTTTTATGACGTCATTATGGACGACCGAGGTCCTTAAAAATTGGGGTCTGGGTGGTTTTAGGTTCAGAAACTTGTATACTATAACCACCTAAAATTGCAGCCTCTCTGCCAGAACTGAAATATTTTCCTGCTACCCAACCTGACTAATAGTATAATTTAAATTTACAAAAAAATTTCTGACAATTTAGTTTAATAAGTTATATGGCAAATGTTGGTACAATCAAAGGAGTAAAATTATATAACTAAAAGAATGAGTGTAGTGAATGGTCTATAAATGACACGTAACATTGCACAATACAATAAAATGATAATATCAATGTTTGTAGGATCATTCTCAAATCCCCGTCATTGAAGAACACAAAATACAGTCAATAATGCGCAGTAAGGGCATCGTTAACTTAAGCATGCGTCCTAACTTCGGGAATAGATGTGGGTTTACATTTTAAATAGTTAACTGTTTGAAATTTAATGTTAAGTTATTTAATTATAATATGGCCATAAACAATTTTTGTGATGGTAGCTTTGTTTTTACAAAGACATAGATTTCACTGAAAAAGCGCACCCTTGACAAAGCCACAAACGACTGAATGTGTAAAAAAAAAAAAACGGGGCCCAGCACATACAATCCTTCCTTTGTTAGAGTCTGTCCAACCCATGTGCCTTATTTAAAGTCATGGCAAAGGTAACTTTTAAGGGAAATTTCTTTTTAGTCCGTTTGAAAGGATTACGGACAATTGCGTGGTATGACAGTTTGACCGGAGTCAGCCAACTTCACTTTGATAGTGTAGGGTGCCCAAAAGAGCTACGACCAATATTGGACCCTGCTTAGGTTTCTCGCCAAAACTTGATAATGGATTTCTTTTTAGCATAGGCTAACGAAACTAAACTTTTAGCATGAGGGGACGAAACTAAAGGGCTTATTGCTTAATGAGTTCAAAAACTCTTATGGATACAACAGAGCATTTCACGTTACTTCGTAAAAAAAAGAACCAAATAAAACTGATATAAACCTTTTCCTGTCGGTAACATATTCGACACAACATATCCATTTATTGAATACCTGTAATAAAGAAAGGGTAAAAGGTAATGTTTGAAAGTTGATTTTTTTCAAATATAAATAGAATTAGCCGACCCGTGCGAAACATTCACATTGAATCCTTCTTTAATACCACTTACGAGGTATACAAAATAGTTAATTGTGCTTAGTGCGTGCCGTTGAATAAAATACGGGTTTATACTTCATGAACAGATGTTATTATTTAGTCTTCTTTTAAGTGAATATTTAATCTCCAGTTGTATTCAGTAGAAAACACATACTAAGTTTGTTTATTGTCATGGATGAAGTCAAAACAAAACACTCAGATTCGTGAAATAAATATTAGTTTATTTTTATTAGTTTAATTCGCATGTTTCAGCTCATCGTATAACGTAAATAAACATTTCGAGTTAAATTTACTGGCAGAAATTATAGGGGTTTGTATAGATCGTTTTTACGAAAATCTATAGAAAAATGAGTGATTTGTATACTTTCCTAGCGTATTGGGGGGAAAAGCTTTAAAATGACACCTTATTTATGAAAATTGGTGAAGAATTAAGGGAGTTATGGTGTACCGACATAAAAGCACTTTAGAAACTATAATATATATAGATGGTTGGTAGGTATGTCAAAATGAAGGCTATGTCGTAAATAAAGCAATATAAAAGCTAAATAATCCACGCGGTACTTACTTTTGAGTTGTTATTATTTTTCGGCGTGAAAACTTAAAAGTTAGAGCCCTAAATGGAATTCAGATAGACACAACCGATGTAAGTACAGTAATTACGAGAAACGATTTACAAAATGATTTAAACATTTTTTTCCATTATTAACATATTTGACAATATTGTATTAACGTTCAATAACCAAAAGTGTTTGCTCTAAAATTATACATTTAATTATTGTATTATTTATCATAAAAACTTGTTGGTTGCTTATTTTTAATAAAAACTAAATGTTGACAGCATGTCGAAAAGTGCAACAATGAAGTTGGAAGTGTTCTGAAGCTAAAATATATTAAGTATAAAGTTTTGGTTTATCTAACTATCCCTATCGCAAACAATGTTTTATGTGTTGGCGAGTAGTTATAGTTTGAGGTCCCATTCAAATCTGCAAGTTCCTACTTCGTTCTCGTGTAAAATAGCTTCTGAATTCAGAAGCTAGATAGATAAGAAGTTATTCATTTTTCTAATCAGTCGGTAATACTGATATTTAACAAAAGATCGACTTTTGATAATACTAGGCTCTTGAACCGTAAACTTCCATTCAAGTTTAAAATATGAAAAAATTTCATTTTTTAATTTTTTTTGTTCACTTGGTGTAGTGTGATAAGCAGTGAAGAAAGTAATTGTGACTTGATAAATACAATTTAACTATCTAACTATACAGATTGGCATGGTAATCAGGACATAGGAAACATCAGTAGTTTTTTTTATTTAAAAGTACAAAATTAGAAAGCCATAAATTTATATTTCTACATTTTGCAAATTCATGTTATCCATGTATCTTTAGACTAACAGATCCGTTATATCGTTACAAGCTTCGTACGTGATATTTTCCCTTATAGCCCAAGGATACAGTGTTACACGCAGAAACTGACTATTTAATCATGACATAATTCTCACACCCTAAAGGCCAGCCATAATTGTGTCTTAGTCACAGTAAATTCTCGTCGAGTGTGTGTTTCAAGCTTAGCCTACTATTATAATAAATGTGATATTGTGGCTTTATTTAAAATCTTACTTAATTTATTTTAAATTAAACATATTTATTATGTTTTCAACCCCATGCTTTATCCATTGACATAAAATCAGTTTTAAATCAATAAAGTCCCTCAATTTATAAAAATGTCAATATATTTAGAAAAACGCTTTATCTTAAAATTATTTTTTAAACATGACAAACATTTAATAAATCTAAAACGGGCAGTTGTAAAGTAGGCAGATACATGAGTTTTAATTCTAATGATATAATTCTATATTATATAATGTACATTTTTTGTTTAAAATAAGAGGCCTTATGATTTATTATAAAGTATGAGGCCTTTTGAAAGTAAGTTTGGCCGGTAAATGGTGTGGCTTCCGTCGCTAATTTCTCCGAGGCATCAACAGTCCAGTCAGGCCCGCGCCTTATGTGACTGCTGGCCAAGTATATAAGCCTGGGGCAGTCCTTGTGTCGTCAGTCAGTGCTTCTACTCCATCACAGTCATGCACTCCTTAGGCCTCGTGGTCCTCCTAGCAGCGGCGGTGGCAGCGGCGGTCGTACCTGCCACCACTCCCCAGGACTCCCTGTGGCGAGGAACTCCCATGGACGGCGTGGTACAGGACCTGGAGGCCGCCTGCACAGACAAGAACGACGGGATATCCTGCATCAAGTACAAAGTCTTAAACCTCATCGACCAGGCTCTCATGAAGGATTCTCTACAGGTAAAGTGAACTGTGACAGCACCAATAAAAAATGTGGTGTAATTATAATAATAGCAAACATTATTCAACACCATACAACAAACTACGATCAATAGTTGCAACTTGATAATAATTTATTGTATGCACAAAGAGCTTTGTGTTAACCCTAGAGCACATAAATCACTTAACAGCATTTGGATAGCGATAAATAATGGCTGCTCTTCAAATTACCGTCATTCTGCAATTTATTATCATATCAGCACCGCTCGTTACATTGGTTTAAAGTGACTTTCCCAATTTTTATACCAGAAAACTTTGCAAACTTTATGGTTTGTGTTTGATAATCGTACAAAATTATAGTGAATTTTACGATTTTACTAAACAATTAAAAAAGTATTATCACAACATCCCGTGTTTGATTGTATGGCTAAATTGTTTATTCGAAGGTTTAAAGTGTTTTTTTTTTGTTTAATTACTGGATCCCATCCGTTTAACGCAACCCAATACACAGGTATTGTTTATACGTGTTATCCTATCTAAAGCGAACCAATATAATAATGATCGTTACCGTAACCTGTACTTGGTTAGGATTTGTGTTATGTAGAATGATAACAATTACAGATCTGTGCTATAGTTGGTAAAAATGCAAGCCGTACCGAAACTCTACTAATTTCCCAGTTTAAAACTTAGCATGAAAATATTAATATTAGTAGGCTATCAATACCCAAGCCATACGTGGATGGATACATTTAATATATAAATGTAAGCTACGAACACCGTTTCGCAAAATCAACAAAGGAAGAAAAATACGTTTAACCTCAACCACTACTTTTCTTCATGGGATTAGTTTATCATACAGTATAATATATTACAACCAGAAGATACATGTGTTTATTATGGCAGGTGTCAGAGGGAGTGTCACTGGTGAAGAACACTGACAAGCCTGAGCAAGAACCCACAGTCGAGGAGGGTGAGAGCCCCAAGGGTCTGGAGAGCCGCGGTCTGTTAGACACCTTGGAGAGCTATGTTCAGAGCCACGACATGTTGGTACGTCTGCCGAGAGCTCTGGGCGGTCAGACCCTCGCTGTCAGCGCCCGCAACATCGACGACAACGAGATAGCACTCGCCCTCCGCGACAATCCGGAGTCTGAAGCCCAGGTTGAGGAGAGGAGCCGCAAACGTAAGTCACATTTTCCTACTATCTATGATATGAGTTTAACGGTACATTACGTTCAAATTTTTGACTGAAAAATTTAACGGTTTGAGTTTAACATATGCAAATTAGATGGAGTGTGGATAAGGTTATCAAGTAAAAAAAAATATATGTGCTTTAAATAATTTTGATAAAATCTTCAACTATAAAGGTTTTGATAGAACCTAACCTAAATTAAATTATGATCAGATTTTGAATTTATAGCTGTCTCTGTAGCTTTTTTGACTTATGATTAGATTTATAAATTTATGGCTACTTATGTAATTCATTGAAATATGGTTAGTTAACTTAATTAGCTTCATAATGAAGATAACTTGGTGTAGTGTGATTAGTAGAGATGAAATTTGATTGTGACTTGATAAATATTAACAATCTAACACAGATTGACATACAGCTAAATACGTAGGCCTAAATCTAACATTACAACATGTGGTGAAAATAAAAGGCAATAGGTATTCAATTACAAATAAATTAAACCAATACAATTTCCAATGTTACACAGAATCCTTACCCCTCCCCACAAACAAGGCACTCAGTTAAGCATTTTGGTGAGGAACTAGTTTAACAGTACTTTTGGTGTCTCAGGCCGCAAGAACAAGCTGAAGAAGATCCTGGTGCCGATCCTTGTGTTCGTGCTGCTCAAGGCCATGACACTCATCCCTCTGGCTATCGGCGTGTTGGGACTGAAGGCGTGGAACGCTCTGCAGCTCAGCTTCTTCTCCTTCCTCATCTCCATCAGCTTGGCGATGTTCCAGCTGTTCAAGAAGATCGCCAGTGATGCACCGCCTCCGGCCGCCGCCCTGCACGCTGCCCCCTGGCAGGACTACAGCCAGTACGCCGCCGCCCGAACTCTCCTCGTCAACTCCCAGGAGAAGGATGTGGACGGGCAGCAGCTCGCCTACAACGCCTACACGTCTCAGTGAGTTAGGTGGGTCTTGCAACATTTCTTTCTTGTACATGCCAAACCTAGATACAAGAATGAACTATTTTCATTTAAAGTTATCACATACAAAAAATAACGATTACTTGACCTAAAATAGTAACTATGTAATTACCTTTATGACATCTTTTAGTTTTTTTCCTAGGACGCTAGGCACGAGCCTGGGATTGTTTTTCACATTACTTCAGGCTCTAATTTCTCTGAAGCATCAACAGTCCTAGGGGTTGCGGCATTATCACTTAGATAAAATTCATTGGTGATTTGGTGGGACTTGAACCCGGAACCTCTTGGAACGAAGTCCTGCGCTCTAACCACTAAACCAGCTCGTTCCCCTTACATCTTTTAGATTATGCGGATATAGATTAAGGCATGGGTGTAGAGTGTCCTCATTTAATCTTTACTGGCATCAAAGGTGGACTGTTACGAAGCAAACAAACATAATTATTTATTCTAAGAACAATGGTTATGATAACTACCTACTTGTTTCGAACGTATCCATACAAAATACAAGAATATTGAATGTAAATATCCCTAACCCTTTGCTTTAATTTACAATCTATATCGTTCAGCTCCTTGAAAAAAATTTGAAAGTAGTTATGAAAGGAAACATAAGTATAGCTCCAATATAAGTAATTAAGTTTACCTTATAAATAAAAGGATCTAGGGATTTAACATAAAACTAATTCGTTGTAATATTTTCAGGTCTGAAGAAGACAGCTCTTTTGTGGACATCTCTTCATCAGTCATCAAGAAATCTATTTATTGTTTTAGATATTTATTTAAAGATCCTGTGTATAGTAAAATATTTTTGTAAATAAACTGAACCAAAACATATTTTTCATTTTCTCTCTAATTTATTATATATAGTTTCTATTATTAAATTGGAGTTTACAGCTTGGACCTTTTCACACGTTGGGAAAGTCCACATTTCAGAATCAACGTCAAAATGAATTTTAAAAACTCTGTTATTCCAAATACTCCAGTAACACTATGAAACGATAGTCTGATCAAAACATTTTTCATGTCGTCTTTGGCATCCGAAATTACATTACTGTATATGCATATTTACTTCTAAATGTTATTGACAACCATTACAGGCAGATAAATAAAATCATTCCGGTTAATGATTAGATTACTTAGCAAACTGCAAATAAGTAATTAATATGGTACAGTGTTAACATACTCATTTCTCAACATACCAATTACTTACTTGGCTATATTATTTTTAAATTAATATCATAATGAAAAATATACTTCATCCTTGGACCTTAAATGAAATACTTTAAGTATATAGATATGTGGCACCTAATTATACAAGTTAAATTATATTTCAATACATGCAAATGATAATGATTGGAGGGTTAACAAAATATACATTTTTTCAATATAAAGGGAGCATCATATTAAGGGTAAAGAAAAGTTATCAATGTACATTTATATTTACCCTCAATATAATGATAATGCTATCATAACAAAGCAAATACGTCACAGGTAATAAGTTGTCTTGAGTCGTACGTTTATAGATTAACGTGGGCTACGTGGGCCAAGCTTCATGTGATGAAAGATACATTCTATTTATGTGAAGCTATTACTGAGGTAAGGGTGAGTAGCACCAAGGCTTTTAACAGAGTAAAAAAGAGGATACTCTATAAATAATTTCAATAACACATAAACAATAATCAATACAGATTAAAACTGCTGTTGTATCTAAAGAAATATTTTTTAAGGACTAAACCGAAAAGTAACTCCACACTTAAACTCTTAGATAAAATTGATTTCCACGGATTATCTATAGCTAACTATGAATAGGTAATACATTTTATTCTTTAAACATATTATACAAATAATATAAATAGAAGAGTCGACTAAAATGGTGAGTATTCAAAAAATTTGAAAATGGGCTTTTAACTTAACTTTTTCTATTATTTCACTAGCTATGCTGTAAACTTTAATAAATGGCTGTAAAGCTTTATAGAATTGGGTGTACGAGTCAATCGTTGTTTATAAACCCAAGTTAAAAGTATATCGTTAGTTAATGGTGTGGTATAATGTAATTTTGCTTTTGAAATTCTTAAGAATTTATTATTAATAAAACACCAAGTCGTCAGTATTATCTGGAGGTGGGAATCTAACTGCGTATCTTACATATTTTTACTCAATGTACCATTTAATCTATGTCAACATGCACCAATGATTGATAGATTAGTTCCCGAGTAATACGAAAACCACCATGAGAACAAAACCTTCTTCTGGAGTACATGGACCAATGTTGAATGTTCTGGAACATTGGAATTGTTTATAATGTCACAGATTATACTGTGGAATAACTATTCCAACCGTTATTTTCGTATATAATTAAAAGAACGACGAAGCAAAATACGTTTGACTAAAACACCGTTCAAGTTAGTTGTTTTACATTACTTAACACCGGCATTGAAAATAATTCATAAAGAAAATGCTAAAGTTTATAACAGAGGCTTGGACAAACAATAAACGTCTTAATATTTTGTATTATAAAATTGATTAATTTGTACCAAAATCATCGAAGTAAACCCCTTGTACAGCAATGCTTTTGATTCGGCTACTGTGATGTTGTTTGGTGGAAGAAATATAGACCAACGTTCTGCCTTTGACAGACAGTAGATAGATACCTAATAAAGTTAAGTGCCGCAATTTGAAACAGACTGAGTGACGACTGATTCACTGTGCCAAGCTTCATTGAATAAACGTGTACCAACTATAGTATGTGAAACGAGGCCTAATTAAACACGAAGTATTTACCCAATATGCAAGGCACTAGATTTATCTATAGTTTATCTATCTCAAAAAGGCCATTGTTAAAAAAGCCTCAAATTGCAGGTCTTTAATTAAAATGCATATGTACTCTCCCTGTTTTAATACTATGCCAGTGTAAGGGAACATAAAAATATTGGCGCGGTGTTGCATGATGAAGAAGCGCGTGTAACAAAGGTAAATGTTATTTAAAAGAAGCACACTCTCTAAGAGGATTGACTATACCAAGATATGTCATCCTTAAACTGATTACAAGTTTAACTGATTGACCGGTAACGTTAAATCATTTCGTGATAAAGTACCAAGTTGTCAAAGATGTGTTATAAGATGTGTAACTGACCAACATTTAAGAACTTATCAAGTATTATTACAGAAAAATATTTGAACTATATGTAAATTATATGTTTTGTCGATATAGGTAATTCATATATTTTTCAAATAAAGTTACTACAAATTACGAATCAGATCATAATAAGCATAAAACAGCTACAGGGTAAAGTGTTTGGAATGGTTTTAGCGTTAGAGATGACGTAATTCCAGTTCAGCTAGGTCTGCAAACTAATATAATGCAAGAAGCAATTCTTGTTAGCCAGGAAATAGCATAATTCTATAAATATTCCCATAAAATAGCTGCATTATATTGTACGGGCTACGCTATACAGGGTGTCCCATAAGTAAGTACATAGAATTCAGGTATAGGTTTTTTAGGTCAAAATAAAACGTAAATCAAGTATAAAATGTTTTTATTAAAAAAAAACTTCGAAATACGATTATATCAAATTATAATGTATTTACGAAAAATAAACATTACAAAATACTACTTACTTTTAAAATCACGCCCGTTTTAGAGTACATTGCTTTAATAAAAAAAAAATAAATAAGAAAAAAAACGGCTGATTTGATGAAAAATTCCCAGAACACTATTTTATTGCTGCTGTCCCTAAGAGAACAATTTATTTTTTGCATCTGTTGTATAACTAGTTACACACCCGTCAACCGTACTACTTTATTTGATAAAGATTTGAGGCTTTTAATTCAGAGAATTAAAAGAAATCACCATTTTGGTTTTAATTAATTTTAAATCTCGTAAAATCTTGCTAATATGAAACTATCTTACCAAATTATCGAAAAATACGTTCATATACTTCATTCTTCTTCGCCTTCCTCTTTCATTATCATTTTCCTTTATTTTTGATATTTTGAAGTTCAATCTTGAAGTTTCATTGTATTCATGTTTTGCCTCCTGGATTGATTAAGAGTACTATAATAGGTTAAATACCTTAATTACATCTTCAATCCAAGTCGTCTTTTTAGATGACTATAGATTCGGGGCGAACAGCCCCATTGTCAAATCGTCTGTATTGTTAACAACTGTTAAAGCATTGGTCACCGTTGGATTCCACATGTATACACACACTGACACACGAAACATTAATATTTACACGAGACATTAAGAATTAATACTTTTGGCCGGCCAAAACAAAAAAAAAATAATACTAGCGTTGTTCGGACCGGTACACTGACTCACAGGGTCAATGTACGTTAGATGTTCCACGGTCGACAATGAGATGTCATATTCAAACAGATTTGTCCAAAAAGATGGTCGATTCATCATGGACATGACGCATAATCAAACTGTGCGTTGACAATGGTGGGGTGCACACCAGTTTGATTTTTTATCTATAATCATGTAAACATTGTAAAATGACAAAAGTTGAAATATAATGTATTCCATACTACTGTACTACTGTTATTCATACGCATCATGCTATGTTCTTGATGATCGGCAACGCATGTGGGGATGTGTGTGTGTACACTTGATTTATTTATTTACTCCACTAGTGGGTAGAATATAGCCCACTCCATAGCTTTCCGCCCACTCTGTAGAACAAATAAACCTACTACATAATTGTGTACATTATCATTTATTTAATTTTTTTGGATCGGCTGTCTGAAATATTGTGAAATAAGCTGTTGGCAGCTCTGCATGTTTAAATTGAAATTTAAACGCAAATGTAAACATTGCGAGTTTTCTCATGTTTCCATGGAGACCAATCAATATTTACTTTTACAAACCTCTTCTCAAAGCGTGGATATACAAGGGGCGTAGCCCGAGATAAACTACTCAGGGTAGTGAATAGGCCTAAGCCATTCCCACATTTTTTGTGGACCATCTTCGTGCTTAGTTTTGGCTGTATCGGTTTAGTATTTAAGTAGTGACAGACGCTTAGACAGACAGACAGAAAACACCTTAATTTCATAATAGTATTGATATATTTAAAATTAAATTTTTAATTACACTAAGTTTAAAAAGTTTGAATAACAATTAGCTCTGAAATCAATTTCTGATACAAAATAAGGTGAATCTTGAACGCAAAGCTTTTTTTCCTGGTCTGTAAAACTAAAAATCTTTTATTTTCAGCTATTTGCTATTAGATTTTTTTGAATTTTGTGTAATTTGATAGCTAAATGTAAGTGTATATGGCATTCTTTCTTAAAAACAGCCGTTTTAAAGTTTAATGATTTTTAAAGTTTAAAATTACCACCATTTCGAAATTAAATAATAATTATTCACAATGATTGTTTTTATAGTAAATAAAATATGATTTGAAACACAATTGTACAAGAAGTTTCATACAAGGCTATTCATTTTATTTGTTCATGTGTTCTAAAACCAAGTGACGATGTTGTCATACAATTCAGTACCTATATATTTTTACCGATATACAACGCTATACTATTGCTGTTAATAACTGAGGTGATGATTGAAAAACAATGTTATGGAATAAAGGGTAAACCATAATGTTATAAGAAACGATAAAACTTAATGTCCAAGGCTCGGGACTTGACTTAATTTAGTTACATTGAATTAGTTGAATTTTCTTCCCAGTCAAGTTATGCTAATGAAGTTTCCTACGGGTTCCCTTCATTGGAATTAATGGCAATACTTTAAACTAGTTGCCTTTAAACGACAGTTCTTTCCTTGTCTTACTTAATTTACTGAGAAACCAAATTTGGCTGATTAGTTATTTGGCATCA